CCATTAAAGCCTTTAAAGCCTGTTAGAGACACAGAGCACTGGAGCAATGTCAAAACTTCTGCAGCCATTAGTCAACATTACACCCTCCAAAAAAACAGAAATGAAAGAGGGTATGGCTCAGGTTTTTAGAGCTCTTTATAAATATATATATATATATATATATATATATATATATATATATATATATATATATGTGCTTGTTTGCTTTCCCCACTGGACACTCTTTTTCCAGTGAGAGCAATTTCCCTCTGAAGCTGCTGTGGATCCAAAATGGCGGCTGCATTACATCACCTCCCATCAGCTTTTCAATCTGCTGTTTCCCCAACAGGTGCTCAGGTGGTGCGTCAGAGCCACAATGGCGGCTCATCAGGCGGGGTCTTACAGCGTGGCTGTCTTTTTTTATTTTTATTTGAGCACCTTTGGCAGCTGTAAATCCACCCCCCCCCCCCCAGAAAGGGGATTATTCAGTGTTTGGTCGACACATGGTGATCTCAGCACCTCCTGATTGGATTGCAGTAATCCTTTTACACCGCCACAAAACCCTATTACTCTGGCATTAGAGAGCGAGAGAGTGGGTGGGGGTAGAGGGTAGAGGGGGGGGGGGGGGGGGCATCGGATGGAGGGCGGAGTGCGTCCTGTAGGAGGGTGAATGATTGCAGGTCACATGTGATTGTGTGTGTTGGTTTTATGAACACATATTTATGAGTAGGTGTCTTTTCTTTCTCTTTCTTTTGTGTTTGTGTTTGTGTGTGTGTGTGTGTGTGTCTCGTGAAACTGTGCTTTAGCGTCTGTGTATGTGTGAGTTTGCGGTCTATAAGTGCGAGGAGTGTGTGTGTGTGTGTGTGTGTGTGGGTGGACTGTGTTTCTGTGTATGTGACCTTTATTTGTGGATTGCGCTTCATATCAGTGTGTGTGTGCATTTTCTTTATGTGTGTGTCCTCCTGGTGTGTGTATACTTGTGTGTGTGTGTGTGAATCTTGTGATGGATTTGGACCTCCTGCTGTTGATAAGTGGCTGTGTGCAGGTGGAGGGTCGCAGCTTCCTGTTACATCACCGATGCTTTCAGCCGCTCTGCAGCAAACAGAACAGAGAGGCGATACCAGAAGAGGGAAAAGAATGTGTTATATATTTTCAGCTACACACACACAGCACAGCTTGGGAAAGGATGGAGCTTGTTGTTCAACACTGAGCCTGCGTCGCTCACAAATACTCTAAAAACGTACAAACCTGACCAGCAGTTTCTTGTCAGCTGGTATAGTTTCAGTCTTAGTCTTTGGACAAAAATGCCTTTTTAGTTTTAGTCATGTTTTAGACATTTTTACCCTTTCAAGTTTTTAGTCTACCAGTGGAGATTTAAGAGTCTATAGGCATAAATCAATTGGGGGGCCCTCCAACCAGTGTTCAGCAGGCCAACAAGAGGGCTGTCAGATGGGACCACCATTTTTATTTTTTTGTTGTATTTGTAAATTTTATTCCATTCAAACAGACAATAAAGTTAAGAAAAACAAACAAACATAAAATTCAAATTTTGAATGAAAAGGAGCAGAAAGAAGACTAATTTTATAATATCTGCATATCTTCACAAAGCATTAATTAAAACAAAACAAAACAGTTAACTCAAAAACAATTACAGGCAAACACAGCCACTGGCAGCCCCATCGTAGGTCCTCCTTAACAATTCAGTTTACACCGTACAAAGCACAAATACATAAAACCATAGGGAGGTTTCCCACCGTCATTACAGAATTGGCACATTTTCGGCCGCTGCTTTTGGGGCCCCCTACTGGTCTTGGACCGTTAAGCAGTTTCTTGCCTTTCCTGTTGACAAGCACCGCCTCAGTAGTCAACGACAACTCAAACATTTGAGTCCAGTTTTAGTCAATACATATTACATATTCTTAAGAACCAGCAGCCTTTTATTACAAACAATTTCTCCTCCAAATGTCTCATGTTAGCAGGCAGTAGGAGGTCACAAATTGCTCAATTCTGAAGTATCCTCAGCTGATTTTACCAAGGGAAAACACCTCCAGTATTATAAAAGACGGCTGTACCAGTGTCTCCACAGGGTTGACTGATACCGCATAGATCTGTGACTTGGATTTGTAAGCAGCGTAATGATAGAATTCTGAGAATTGGCAGATACATTTGTACATCGAGTTTCTCATTGAGCATGGAAAGCGTAGTCCAAGGTTTTTTTTAATAGTATCCAAGTCATACAGAATATTGACATTAAGGTATGTTCAAAGGGGGATGTGTTTATTTCTATTTAAGGGTTTAATATCTAATATGGTCTTAATGGGATACGTACCAAACTACCCTAACCCTAAGTAAAAGTGAATGTGGGCGAATGACAACAACTCATATTCAAATCATGTTATTGAGTGACGTCGTGTTTAAGTTGTAAAAACGAAAAAAAGATTCTTTCATTATGTACCACTGCCGGACGTGTAGCTGCGCCATCTTCCATTTTTAACAAACTCTTCTCATTTTAGCAGAAAACCATTAGACCCTTTTTTTTTTTGGAGGGGGGAGGGGGAGGCTAATTCTGATTAAGATCAGCCCCATTTGTAACTGCCACCATAAATCATTGCAGGAGCCATTTAAAGAGCTCATTTTGGTCCCCTCATCCATTACAAACGATTGTACCGTCCATATTTTGTGTGCACGGGCCACTGATTCTTAAAACCCTGCCAAAAGAAAAAAAAATACAAAGTTACACTGGCTACCATCAGATTGTGGCTTACACTACAACACAATACAGAGTCCTCGCTGGGGATTTTTATGTGCCAAGATCATCGGCCAACAGTTAATCAAAGTCAAATTATCTTCCTTAATTATCATTTTAATATTGCAGGTAATGGCCAGGCTAAAACTGGCTCTCATTTAAACCTAGTCCTAGAGTAGATCAGACTGATACCTAAACTCATTTAAGAGAGCTTTGGTGCAGTTAAATGAGGAGAACATGTAGATTGGGAACTCTAACATGGTTTGGTCATGGTATCGAACAACTCTTTGTCGACTAGGACAGGGACATGTTTGGTAAGACACTTGATGGGATGGATGCTTTCGTTCTTTGGGTTTTCCATTTGCTCCATTTGTTAATTCTAAACCAAAATGTCCTCCATCTGGTGCTTTAAGAAGGTCTGATCTGTATTTTTTTTGGGCTTCTTTTTCACCACATTGGCCAAATGTGTATCACGGGGCAACATGGTGATTTGCAGTCACGGGACAAATCCTCTGGATGCATGTAGTCAGTTTTTCTTTGATTGGTGAACTAATTCATTTTGGGCTCCTCTGAGGTCCAATCCCAGTCACTCATCCATCCATCCATCCATACATTATCTATACCACTTTTCCCGTTTGGGGTCACGGGGGGCTGGAGCTGATCCAAGCTGTCATTGGGCGAGACGCGGGGTTACACCCTGGACTGGTCGCCAGTTAATCACAGGGCGACATATAGAGACAGACAGACAATTTTAGAGTCACCAGTTATGCTAAAGAGCATGTCTTTGGACTGTGGGAGGAAGTCGGAGTACCCGGAGAGAACCCACACATATAACTCCACACAGAGAGGCTCCTGTCAGACGGGGATTCAAACCAAGAACCTCCTCGCTGTGTGGCAACATCGCTAACCACTGAATCACTGTGTAGCCCCCAATCACAGATATGATATGTAAAACATTTTTTTAGTGACAAATCAATTAAAACCCAATTTCCCCAAAGGGTTAAACATTCCCATCTGATACTCTGCAAATCCATCCACTATAACAACAAATGATGTATCTCCAGCATCTCTAACGTCTTCTCCCTTTTTTTTTGTTCAATCTTCTCCTCCTTCAGTCTTACATGGAGGATCACCTGAAGAACAAGAACCGCCTAGAGAAGGAGTGGGAGGCTCTGTGCGCCTATCAGGCAGAACCCAACGCCTGCACCATCGGCCTGAAGGACGGCAACACCAAGAAGAACCGCTCCACTGCTGTTGTGGCATGTAAGCAACAAACCTCTTGCTAATTTATGTCTTTTCGTCGATATGTCTGTGTTCATTGGTTTGATTCTATCTACACACCCTCTTATTGGCTGTGTGCTCTTAGCAGTGTCTTGTTGGATATCTGACTAGATTTGGGGGTACGTCGAAGTGTCTCTGGTAATGTGCAGAGGAAGCAGACTGTGTTAAAGGCAACAAAAAGGGTGGATTGCATACCCCCAAAATGCAATCACATAACCCACAAGCCATCATTCTACAACCATTAAGCTTTGTATGAAATCCTGTCAGGGTCAAAATCCAGTCATTTGTCGATTAGCTTCAGGTCCATTCTCACGCCTCAAGTTGCCAGTTGGACTGTAAACAATTAACAGCATACAGAATAGGAAGTTCAATAACTATCACTTATATGTCAGATAGTGGTACACTCGGAATCCCAATGAGAATTGGCTGTTGGATCCCCATTAGCACCAGCATACCGGTTTCCTGCTTAAGACCATGGTATAGGAAAAGTGGTCTTCTCATGCTTTAGTTGCCACATCCTCTGACTTCTGTTTAAGACCTTAAAGTCTTTCTATGTGATTTTTCACATTTAAATATAATATAAATCAAGTATATCCTCTGAAAATAACTCTGTGAGTCATGACTGTCTACAATGGGTGTAACACCCGAGTCCCACTGTCTGTGATGTTTTCAGAGTCCTATCTTCAGTTTGTTTACATCGCCTGGACGGCCGGCTGACTCCTCCCCTCGAGTATAAAAGTTGTTTAATTGAGGGACTAGAGAAAAGAAGAATAACATACTGTACTCACTGCTTAACTGTGTTTCTAGGTCACGCTCATTTCAGGTAAATTTACATGCAGTGTGAAGATACCAGCATAATAAAGATCGCTAGCATTAGCATGCTAACACAACAATGCAGCGCAAGTTGTTTTGGTTTCATGCTGGTGCTCAAGGGCGACACCTGCTGGATCAAAAACTCACATATAAAGCCTTTAAGATAACAGCCACAGTCAGAGTAAATGAGACATTAGCACCTGTAGCTCGATTAACAAACGAACCAGTGCTGACCTCCACATGTTTCATCCTGGAACTTAACTAAGGTTATCTTTGGATTCAAAGACGGTTAACGTAATGGCCGACTGCTAAGCTCTGATTCTGCTTGTGATAGAGACGACATGATCTGCGTTGCACAAGTTGTTAATTTTCCATGTCTGTAAAAGTCAACCACTTTGGTAACCATGTGTCCTTTCATGACAAGTAGTGTGAATAAGTAGAATAAATGTCAAAGTACTTCCTCTGTCGGTAACTTGCTCAAGACTAAAGAGAAATACGTTTAGCAAAAAATTGGTGACCTCACTCCCACCACCTCTCGACCGCGCTCCCCAAAATACTCAGAGCCCGCCGTCTATTATCAGAAACCAGGAGCAGATGCAGCGAGCAGAAGGGTTGTAAATTAGTTTTCTATTAAAGCTCTCCTGCACCGACCTCATCAATGATTAAAATTTTCTAAGCTTCTGTGGAAATAGCCTATCTTGAAAAAAAGAAAAAAAAAAGTGCTGTCCCATTCTCTCCAGCGAGCCCAGCGCTTAATGAAATCCAGGTTGTCAGCAGGGGAAAGCAGTTTGTCAGGAATAATTTGTGCTTCCTATTTGAGGCACCACTGGCTTCTTTAAAAAAAAAGAAGAAAAAATCTGAACTGTTTTGCGTCTCTCACTGGAGGCTTGAGAGCTCTGTGTTCACAAGCGTTAAAGTACAAAGTGGGATAATTTGTCCCTTCCAGACATTTCCCTGGACCAGTGAAGATGGAGGGCAGATTCTCCCACAGCTGAACGAGAGCAAACTTGTCATCTTCAACTTTTGGTTCCCCCAAAAAAAACTTTGAAGTAAAGTAGAATCCTGGGATTTTTAAAACCGCCCGTCTTCACCCTCCTTTAAACATATTTTTGGGTGAACTTGACGAGCAATGACCTGCTCGAGTAGATTCTAATCCCAGCATTTCCTGTCTTTTGGGTCTACCTCTTTTAGTTCAGTACATTAACTAACGGGGCGCCGGTGGCCTAGTGGTTAGTTCACCTCAACGTGGAGAGGCTACAGCCCTCAAAGATGGCCGCCCTGTAACTCCTTTGCCACATGTCATTTCTCTCTCTCTCTCTTCCCTGATTTCTCTTTCTCTCTCTGAGATAAAAAGCATCAAACGCCCATCAGTATATCTTTTTAAAAAACCACACATTTCTAATAATTTGAGTATTTGTGGCAAAGATAAGTTCTTCTTTTGCACATTGATATGTTTATTTATCTCAAAGGATTTCTCCGCAACATCTCAAGCCCATTTCACACATCAAGGTTGAGCCAACTTCTAGAGCAGGGATGGGCAACTTTGGTCACAGCGAGGGCCACATTCATTTAACTCTCACTGCCAGGGGGCCAAGTTGTAGAATACAGAAACGATTACAGTCAATTATGTCTCAAATTTAACTCAACATATATTCCAGTGATCTAATATTATTATGGACATTTTTTATAATTTCATGGCATGTCATGTTTTCTTCATTACTGTAATTGATGTGTAAAAATTGACCTGAGGGCGACGTTGAGGGTTGACGGGGGCCGCATGTTGCCCACCCCTGTTCTCGAGGAAACACTCAATTTTGGGCACTAATTAGTCATTTAGACCTTAAGATTTACGCCGCATGGCCCCAATTTTAACGACAACAAAAAAATGCTGACTAAAATGGACCCACCAGTATCTGCAGCAGAACCTTTATGGCTGCTGAAATCATCAAGTTTAACCCTCTGGTGAACTACTCGCTGCTTGATGACTGCCTGAAACCTGAGACCTCTGCTGACTTTCAGAGGAGCCGTCCAAACAGCACAAATCAGGGATCAGTCTATCAAAGTTCAAACTACTGTCTTGTTATTCCGAGCTGAATACAACCATGACAAACCAGGAGGAAATAAAGTCTTTAAGGTCATGGACACATCCTTACTCTGTTGCTTCAGATCAAGGCTGCGGTAAAAAGTTACACCCCATCATACTCCTCATTTAAATGCATGTGACATCGTCCTCTGAGCGCCTGAGACAAAAACGCTCTGAATTCCTCTTGTTTGTGTTCCAGATGATCACTCCAGAATCACCTTGAAGGTGGAGAACAGCCAAGGCAACTCTGATTACATCAACGCCAGCCCGATCGTAAGTAGCACCTCCTCTGCATTCTAAACTCTGTGCTCCACGCCGGCTCCCACAGTCCACCACGGGGCCGTCGCAGGAACAAAGGCGGCCTTCTCGTTGTACAATCTAAATTTTGATGCAGCGCTTGCTTTAGCTTCGGCGGCGGCCTGACGCGAGTGTGTATGTTCAGCACCATGAATATTAATGATCGCTACAGCAAACACCCCGGGCGAGTGTTCGCTATGGGAAAAAGGCGTGGGAAAGGACGTGCGCACGTCGCATCTTGACTCGCTTCTCGTTTGTGAAAACAAAATTGATCCGTGGGGGTCTTGGGAAATGATTGTTTTTTGACCTTGGCTTATGTTAATTTGATGCTAGTTTGTGTTTACTGTTATGTGGTGCACACCCCGAGCTGCTGAGTCGTTCTCCTTGGCACAGCACAGATTTAAGCAGCAGAACAGCTTGTAAGAAGAAGGAGAGGGGGGGGAGGAGGCGGGGGGGGGGGGGGGGGTGCATGTGCATTCAGTAAGTCAGTGTATCAATTTGGAAACCAGTGTTGGAATTGTAGGTTTATGTTCCCCTCGAGGCAGATACAGTGGTATTCCATTAAAAGCAAACCCAAGCGCTATGCATTTCAAATCCGGGCTTCACACCAAGAAGTGGCTGAGTGTGTGTGTGTGTGTGTGTGTGACTGACTGACTGACTGACAGAGAAAAAGAGAATCAGAAGGATTTAAAACTGTACAGGGAACAAAGAAACGCACAACTGCCAAAACAAGCTGCAGCACATGTACCCACGCACACACACACCGAAACACACACACACACACACACACACACACTGATGCAAGGACGCACACACACACACTAAAATGTGTGCACGCTCACCCACTCTGATATCCTATACATACACACCAATGACAGACATGTATACAAACAGTGCAGATATCCATAGAGACATACACACACACACACACACACACACACACACACACACACACACACACACACACACACACACACGATTGAATGCATAGGAAACGGTACACATTGATGTTATTTGAGGAGCCTCCTCCACTGTCACTTTGATGTAAATCAGACTTCATGTTTGTGTTCCCGCTGTGACAGACGCTCAATAACTCTGGGGAGATTAGATGGATTTTCCTGCCGCTTCTCGTTCACCGTCTGTACTTAAAGCGACAACAGCATACACTCTCTGTTTAAAGCCAGGTAACTGTGCGGTTAGCGCTGCACTCCCTGGTAACCTGTTGCATGTTGCTCAGCTAACACAGGGAGCATCGTTTCATCACAGCCTTCAACGCCATGCAAAGCTGTACGTCCATTCTGCAATAAAATGGTTAAATTTATAGTGAGAGTGTTCCTGACTGAATAAAGCTTTACTTACTTTTACAACAGACATATAATAGAATAGAATAGAATTACTTTATTGATCCCAAACTGGGAAATTGTGGCATTACAGCAGCAGGTTATCCAAACACACAATATGAGTAAAAAACACTATCAGCAAATTTAAACACAATATAATATTAAATACAAAGTAAATTAATACTAAAAATATCAAAACTAAGAATGAGAATATATACAACCAGGATTTAACTTAGCATTACTAGTCTTAGTTAAGACAAGATGAAATACAACATACTTTGCTGGAGAATCAACCTCCAAAATGGAGTCGATGCAAACATCAAATTTGATCTCGGGGGGAGGGGAAGAGAACATTTTTGACTTTTTTAGGTTGATGCTCAAAAACTGTGGATCATTTTCAAGGCAGATCATAAGAACAGATATACAGGGATACATAGCAATGCCCATGAACAAAATGACAAAGCAGGAAACCTTTCAGAGTCGATCGTCTTTCAACCGAAAGGTCGGGAGTTCGATCTCCAGCTCCTTCAGCAAGACACTTAACCCCGAAATGCTCCCACTGCTTTATCGGCGGTGTGTGAATGAGTATGACTGAGATTAGTTTACACTGATGGACTCTTTACGCAGCGTAACTACAAGTGTTATAATCGGATGTTGCTCATGATATGCAACAATTGAACCCCAGCTAATGATGTCAATAAATGTGCCAAGTCACTGATGAATCCAGTGGGATTTGTAGTTTTTGTGTCGACATTCACAGATGTACCAAATGTAAGAAAGCTTTGGCATACGAGGGATCGTTTTGGGCGTCTTTAAAAAGCACTACATCTGTGTTATAGCTTCATTTTCCGGAGGATTCAGAGCTGGAACAGTTGTCATATAATCAACCAGATGTTGTTTTCTGCACTAGCTAAAGTAAGGGTGACATGAATTAGCTAAATGACATCATTAAAGCCACCCTAAATGTTACATGCTCAGTTTCTCATTAAGTATTAGACTGTATTAGGACCCCCCCCCCCCCCCCCCCCTTCCCTGCTGAGATTTATTTGACACCGGCAGCTGGAGTTTAAAGCAAACATTAGGCATTGGAGTGTGTTCCAGATGATGTTTTATAGTCGAGGCATTACCTTCACATCAAAGTCTCATGTGGAGGATCGCGCTGTGTCCGTCTGTTGAGCCCAAACCCCGCTGGCCTTTGCACGGCTCGACCAGCTACAACTTAAATTTCCAACACTTAAAGTCAGGGTTGTTCATTTCCTCCAGATTCACTTTTTAAGATTTAGGTTGAAATTGTTTTAGATCCTGACAGAAATGAATAACTCATGTTCTCTGAAACAGGAACGGAGAAAACCCTTCATCTTTAGCAGTTGTAAGAATGTAAAAACTTCAACCAATGTCTGCCACGAGGTACCAATCTGATGAACCAATCAGGCGCCTCCCTGTCTCCCCGCTCGCTCTCTACCACTTGGGTGCTCCAGCCCACATTCAAAGCTCGTCACCAGTGACGGAGTTTATACTGAGAGTTTACGTGAGCTGAGGTCCGCTTCTGCTTATAAGTGAGGGGGCGTGGCTTATGAGGGAGCACAGAGGGGAGGGGGTTGAGTGCAGACGGAGCACTGAGGGAATGCTACTTTCAAAATCATGCAAGTTTTTTGAAAATGACCAACCCTGCCTTTAAGGAGCCTTTTAGTGCGCCATTGCAAATAAATAAAAATGACGACTGCAATATTTTGAAGTAGTAATAATAATATTATAAGTAGAAAAAAGTCAAATGGCTTCTCCTTTGTCTGTTTCTTGCACCACATTTATTCAGAAACTATCTGCCAGACACATGAGTGAAATTTCAGCTGATCCTATGGACATGCACTACTGGAGAGATGTCAGAGTGAGGGGGCTTTTCCTGAACAGAATCCACAGAGGGGGTTAGGAGGAGGATGGTCGTCACATTTAAACTGAGAACAGGTTGATTTTTTTGAGTCGTTTTCCATCATTTTCTTAAAACAGTGCATCCAATCTGAAGTGCCGCAGGTGCATACATAATCAGCTGCGTAAAAAAAAGTTCCTCACAAACAAATCAAAAGCTTGATCCAAATTTACCGAGCCGTGGATGACTGAGAACCTACAGACACAGACATCTCACTCACAAACACAATCAATCACTCAGTTTCTCCTTCAGGACACACGACGCACAAAGTCCAAAACAAACTGGATAGTTTCCTCAACACACACACACACACACACACACACACACACACACACACACACACTCTCCTGAGACATAATCAATCACTCAGGTACCCATCAATCACGCACACACACTCTTCCCCTCATTGCGGTGCGTGTCATGTGCAGATAGCGCCGACGTTTAAATCAGCCTCGCGGCTTTTATTGACAGTTAAAATCGACTTTGTTTGACGACAGACTTAAAGGAGTCACTGCTGAAGAAAATGGGAAAGACTCTTTTAACTGTGCAGCGACATCACAGTGAATTATTCAGAGGATTAAATGAAATTAACTTTCAGAAGGAGGCGGCGGCGGATACAAAAGACGGAACAAACAATGCAGACGACTGAAACAAGCAGAGAGAGAAAAGCAGCTCCAGGTTGTGCTGATGTTAAATGACTGTTTTTGTCAATGGAGTCTGGAGGCTTTGAAGAGAACAATGAAGAGGCTGTTTCTGAAAAAAATAATCATTTTTTACCTCAATGAAAAAACAGCAAAGTTAATAGTTAGGGAGGGAAAACAAAACATGTTTTTTTACTGGTGAGGTGAGGAATAGATTTTTTTGGGGACGACAAAAGAGGAGACACAAAAGCAGACAGAAACTGTCTGAAGTAGGGGATGATTTATCGCCGTAAGAAGCACACATAACACAAGTTGTTTTCCATGCATGTCGAGTAATCACACACACACACACACACACACACACACACACACACACACACACACACACACACACACACACACACACACACACAAACTGTCAACTCAATCCCCCGCTGAGGTGTCAGAATGTAGTAACAGTCTGCTCCATCGTAAAAAACTTCACCTTACAGATTAGATGAAGTCATGGTGATCACACCACACACACACACACACACACACACACACACACACACACACACACACACACACACACACAAACACTACATTTTACGTCTTCCAAAGAAAGGAGACAAATCGGGGATAATTGCACTTTTCACATCCTCCATTATTGTTCCTCAATCAGGAAGTGTGTGTGTGTGTGTGTGTGTGTGTGTGTGTGTGTGTGTGTGTGTGTGTGTGTGTGTGTGTGTGTGTCTGTTGGTGAGAAGGAGAGAGAAAGACATTTGTCTGACTGACAGACACACACACACACACACACACACACACACACACACACACACACACACACACACACACACACACACACACAGACATGTGGTGGTGTCGTTAATGGCAGGGTTTAATTCTGGAGACAGTCTGAGATGTCAGGAGGCAGTGTGTGTCCACAGTGATTAAAAAAGGAGACGGAGAGGGAGGAGATAAAAACAGACGTCAAGTGTCTCTCTGTCTGTCTTTCTTTCTTCTCCATCTTTACTCAAAACAACTTTTTCTTTTCACAACTTTTCTCTCTCTCTTGTTTTGATCCAAGTCAATCTGTTTCTCCTGATGAGCTGTCTCCCCCGGGTCTTTTCTCTCTTCATTTCCTACACCATGGGGACCAGGGGACATGTGTTAATTATAAGTCTTGACATTAATGAAGAGTTCATGTACTGGTCCGACTTCCAGTAGTCACATTTATATCCCTTAAATGTGCATTGCAATCCTGATTACAAAAAAAGAGAAACATCTGGTACCAAAAAAGTAGGACAGTGCAGATCCCTTATTTTGGAACCATTCCCAACTTTTAACGGTGGAAACGCCAATAAATGGGTACCGTACCAAGCAGAACTGAAACAGACAGCTTGGTGGAAACGGGGCTAAACAGTGCGGAGACGGGCTACCTGGCTTCTTGTTAGCTGAAGGCTGGTGCTGAACTTGTGCTGTAAAGCTGAACACTCTTCTTGAAAGACGTTTTAAGAGACCCAGCCCTCTGATAAAGTTACATAGTGCAGAAAACGGGCGACCAGGGTGCTCTGTGGACGTGGGAGAGACAACATTCTCCTTGATGAAAAAGCTTTGAGACATCTATTCTCAGGTGGAAAAGTTTCATATTTAAACCATTTTGGCATGGCTGAAAAAGTATACATCCCCATCTTGAACGAGCTGCGTTAAAAAGACTTAAAATGTCATCTTAAGCTGTAAAATGACGACTTCCTTTACGTATGAAAACCTGCTAAACATACCCAGACCTGATGAAACGTCCACCTACCTTTGGACACACACACTGTATCACACACAGGTGTGAAACCACCTTCACATGTCTCAAAATGACACTTCTGCCTCCAGCTATTTTTTTTCCCGCCCATGGCCCCCGGCTGCAGCTGTGGGATGTTATAATGAGCGGTGGCATGACACCTCTTCTCTCTCCGAGCTCCTACATTTGAAGTTCATTAGAAGTGCATTGTTGTTTGGCATTCAAACAGGGGGGGAACAAAGGACCATTAAAGACAATTTTTGTTCAAGGAAAACCCCCCCCCCAGAAATTATCTGCCTTGCCTCTGTAATTGCTTCCATGCTAAATTGGTCGAGGCCAATTATTACATTTACCGTACAATTTGCATAGTAATAGGCAGGGGGGTGTCACTCACTTCCTCGCAACTTCGGCTTCACAGTCGTCTCTTTTTCTTTTGCTCTCGACGCCTACGCCACCCTGCTGTAATTTCCCTGAAAGTAAGGGAAGGAAGTCTAGATACTGAAAACTCTCACCTCCTCCACCGAGACAACGCTGCCAGCTGCGACTATAAGAGCAGGAACAGATGGTATATAGCAGCCATTTAACATGTATTTAAGATGCAAAAAATGATTTTTTTTTAAGAGAGGGAGACAGGAGTTCTAGCGGTCAGGAAGTGTTTTTTCAGTCGACGTTGGAAAGGCTCCTACCAGGTGGTGCGAGAAAATGTAGTCCCTTAAATATACGGAGTTGTCCTGGAGGATTCTGGTACCCAGGTTAAACCGTGCTACCTAACAGCTGCCAAGTGGGACAGAAACCAGCACCAAAAAAAGCTCCTTGATATCTTTGAGGTAGAATCTGAGGATGAAGAATTTCATGGATTTCACTGATGTTTAATAAATCTTAATAACCACATTGTTGCCTGGTCAGGTTTTCTTCAGGGGGGGGGGAAGGGGGGTGTAACGATCCGTCAGCTCGTCCCTCCTCTTGTTATTTATTGGACGTCGTCCGCTCAAGCCGGCGGCCACGAAGCGTTTTAATGACGTAACAAACTGAGGAGCGGAAAACTCAGTCTGTGTCTGGGGATGAAAGGTTGAAGGTGAATTAACCCGACTTCACCTCTCAGAGATGAAATCGTTGGAGTTCTTTTATTTACAGAGCTACGATTGCTTCCCTGCTCTCTCAATTCTCTCGTTTTAGATTTTTATAAAACTCAACACTCAGCCGACTCTCCTGAAGGAGATACTTGATTATTTTCACAAATCTTGCAAAGAATTTAAAAAACAAAGCTTCTTACTTGCAAATGAAAAAGTTCAGACAGCTGAGAATTTTTGATTAAAGGTAGAATACGTTAAAAAAAAATCTAAACTTGTGTTAAATATTTTGTTTTTGAGTACTTGTTTTGATTGAGCGCCCCCTGGTGGCGGGATCTACATTCTGTGCCTTTAAAGTGTCTCAGAGGAGATTTTTTTAAACCTCATTGATAAAGTTCTGCAGAGGAGGACGACAAGCTTTGAATTTGTAACTCTCTGAACTGTAACAGGTGTTTTCCCTTACATTAATTCAACTGTTCATCTACTGTTCAAGGTTGAAGATACTTAAAGGAGTGATCTAAAGCGTACTCTGCTTTATCTTCTAGTTTACTCAAAATAGAGCCTTTGATTACAAAACGACCCGAATGAGCCAAATTGAAGGAAACTGATAACAAGAGATTGAGTCATTAACCTAGAAAAGAAAAAGAAAGAAGAAGAAAAATAAAATAGTTTTCTGAGTTTATAAACCCCCTGAGAAGGAGCGTCATATGTAGAGACGTCTATACCATCAGACTTCTTTTGGCAAGCAGTGGAGTCGCCCATCCCCCCACCTCCTCCCCGCTCACATTGGCTGTGTGGTTTTTAGATCTGGAAGCAAACGGCCACGATGTAATGTATCCTCATGAGCCAGTTTATCCACTTCTATCTTACACCGACTGAATGTTCTTGGGTATGTGTTGTACTGTTGTTTTAGCAAACCGTGCAGCCATTTTTTTCTCGACTTATGAAAAGAGAGAGAGGTCCTATTTGTCATCCTAGAACAAAATAAGCAAAGGGTTAAATATTTAAAATGTGTGTGAGAAAGATGAACTTCAACCTTTCATTTGTCTTCTTTTCTCTCTCTTGCCTCAGATGGACCACGATCCCAGGAACCCCGCCTACATCGCCACTCAAGGCCCTCTGCCCTCCACCGTGGCTGATTTCTGGCAGGTAAGAAAACACACACACACACACACACACACACACACACACACACACACAGACATCCCCACAAAGCACACACACCAGTGGACAAAAAATCAATATGTTCTCACCTCTCTAAAACAAGAGTTAGCCGATTTTTATTAGTGCAGAGAGCCACACGGGAGAGCAGCTTGTTCTACGAGTGTCGTTATTAATCTCTCCTTCACTATTATGCTCGCTGCCCAGCACACACACACACACACACACACACACACACACACACATTGTTAATGCAGCGGGCGACCAACACTTTTCCCGCTGTCCCAGCTGTTAGATTGGGTTTGAATTCTGAGAGCAGGAGATCGATAAATGATTCGGGTCAGTCTTTGTGTGTAAGTGTGTGTCGAGGGGAACAATGGGAAAGAGGTGTGTGTACGAGGGTCATGTGTGTGTGTGTGTGTGTGTGAAGGAAAGGGTCCCCTTGTCAAACATGGTCTGTCCCTGCCGTTTCACCCCAGGGAGCTGGTTACCACGAAGGCTGAAGACAGAGACATCTGACAAAAAAAACTCTCTGACAGCTCAGTCAACAGATCAAAAGTAACCCCGCCTTGTGACATCAAACATTTACCTTTTTTTACCGTTATCTTAAGTCGTTTTCTTCTTCTTCTTTTTTCTATCCAGAAGGTTTTGCGTGGTTGATGTTGTAAGCTTCGACCTACAAGAAGTTCCTTTTTTTATTTTCAAAATAAAAGCAGGTTTGTACCCAAACAGGGAAACAAAAAAGTACCCTTAGCTTCAGACAGTAAAATGTTTCAAAATAAAAGCCTAACAAAAACTGTTTTGAAATGCAAAATCATGGAATTTCAACCATGCGATTAATCACAATTAGCTTTTCAAATTGAGGGATTAATCAAAATAAAATAAAAAAAAAGAGAACTTCTTTAAGTTGGCTGTGGCTCAGTGGTAGAGTCGGAACCGGAAGCTCAGGTTCGTTGTCCAGCTCCTGCAGACACATTTCCGATGTCCATGATTTAATATCAGTCAGTAGGACTATGAGGCCAAAAAAACACAGATGTGATCCTGACTCAGGGTTCATTTTGAGGTTTTCATCCTAATAAACTCATGTCAGATCAACTACCCATCATGGATTCTCCTCAGGCTGATTAAGTTGTGTGTGGTCAGTGTGTCTTTGCACGCTCTTTGGTCAGGAGCGGCTGAGGTTATTACACCTCGTACATCACATTACACAACGACTTCCCCATCAGGATTCTGCTAAAGAAAATTACTGAAGGCCCATAATGTCGGACGTTCAAACTTTAACACATGGACTTTTTATGATGTTGAGAAGCCGGACTCTCAGACAAAGAGCACGGGGTGCAGTAAACCGCTTCTGTATCCAGGATAAGTAAGAGATACATTTAAGTGAAGACCGAACAAACCTCGTGTTTTTTTAACTCGTGCTCCCAGCATCCCGCAGAGTTCTCTCTCTCTCTCTGTCAGCTACGGCAAATTAAACACCATTCTTCAAAAAAAAGTGCACCGTCACATCCCGAGATCCGCGAGACCAATCAGAGAAGCAGCGGGAGCCGAGGAGAGACAAGCGGTAATTCACAAAAAAAAAAAACCCGACGCAATTAATGACAGTGAAATCTCCGGGAAGGTGTGGCGGCGCGCTGACTGAACGGCAGGTGCAGCCATCTTGATTATGTAGCAGGCGTGATGATGTGGGAGCGGTATTGCTTTATGGCTTCCATTAACGGCTGACTGTTACCTCTGATCGGGAGTCGAATGGATCGCCAGAGTCGGCACTCCCCTCCGGCTGTGAGAATATGACTGCCAGCAGGAGAAAAATACGAGCGCATGCTGGGTCCCACTGTACCACGACCCAGCTGGGGGAGGGGGAACGCCTCGGCAGCAATTACTCTTCATGACTTCTTCTTCTGAGTTTGCTGCTGAAGTTGGAAACACAAAAACATGACGTCTTAGAGGGTTTGGGTTTTCAGACCTAAGATTCGATTTTCACCACAAACAGAAACATCTGCCCTTCCATAAAGACAACAAAATGAAAGTATTTATTGACACATATAATCAGTACACATGTCAGTCTTCCTTCTAGAAGATTATTTGTTGTGTTGACAGATATGCAGTTCCAAAACGTCAAGATGGGGACTCTAACCCTTTAAAAGACTCAGTGCTTAACATTATAATCAGCTTTGAACCTTTTTAAAGAACATCAAAAAGCGTCGTATTAAAACAATAAATGTTCTGTTCTTGTAAAATCTGTACGATTATACAAATGTTGTATGGTTCCTCCTTCTTAAAGGCTTACTGTGCGACTTTCAGACCAAAACAAATGCTCTTTTTGGACACACCTCCTTCATCCCTCAGCTCCCGCCCTCCCATCCTGTTTCACCAGCAGAGTCTGTGAGTCACAAAGCAGCAAACAAGGGTTGATAAAAATCTGAAAACAAGATTCTACGAGCGATGATATGCATCTATAGATCATTCAGTCGTTATGTCTTTTTTTATTTTAGACCTAAGAAAATCTTTTCTTCAGTTCGGAAAGTCTCCTTCAGTTGGACTCTTGCCTGTAGACACAGCGTCCCCGAGTGGGCGGGGTTACCAGACTACTACTTCTCCAGACTAGTAGCAGGGCTAACGAAGAGGGAGGGGCTTCATGCGAAAGACATGAAACATGTAGGACCCTCTGAGTTAAACAAAAGGGGGAGTTTAACTTCACTCTCTTTTTCAGAAGTCTTTTCTACACCATTTATTAACATAGGGTATATTTGATATTCCGACTGTTGCATACTAGAGCTTTTAAATAAGAGTCCATAGTCTTAATTAACTTCCAGTATGAAATGAACAAAGTCAACAAAGACTCATTTTCATGCAGGCAGATTCACTGTCTTCACAATCTGACCAGTGAATCCACATGTCCTATTATTGAACGCTGCTAATTATTTTCTTTTGACGTAAATCTTTGTAGTGTACCCCTGTGTTGTGCTCAAACGGGCCATTTGGTTTGATTAAAAAGTATAAAAACTTTAAAAATGAAACACCAGCTTAGTTTCAAAGGGCGAGACCGTCAAAGCAGGAGAGCCAGTTTGATTGTGCTCCTCCTGTTTTATGGTGTATAACTCATATATCTCCCAGTATAATGAGAGTGTGTGTCATGTTTTTTGCAGATGGTTTGGGAGAACGGCTGCGTGGTCATCGTCATGCTGACACCTCTCGTGGAAAGCGGAGTGAAGCAGTGCTACCACTACTGGCCCGACGAGGGATCCAACCTGTATCACATCTACGAGGTAAATGACCTAACCTTAGCACAACGCATTGATCGGGAAGATGAAAGCTGCGACTTTATGTGATCTGCCTGTGACTCATATGAGCAGGGGTGTGTCCAGTTTTCTGGGGGACTGGGGTGGCCTGAAGTTTGTGAGCACACACACAAACTTGATTTAAATTTTACCCTGTCTATCCCCACTCATGATATGTACTCCTAAGTAACACAATTTGGCAACTTTTAAATGCTGTTAGCTTGTTTCTTTTGGGACTCAAACGTCACAAGTTTAACTAATTAGAAAATGTCATGCAAACTCTTGAACACTGCTAACTTATAAAAATGAATTTTTCTGCCAGGAGGTCATTTGCAAGTCAGGGAGTGTGCACAAGTTTTTGCTTTCAAATTTGTATGTAAAGAGCAAAGTCTGCAGATGATTTAGTTACGGCTGAATGTAACAAATCATAATTTGAGATTTTGAGGTGGCACCTTGGGTAGGCTAATCAGATTTCAAGGGCTAGCCCTATCCACGCCTCTGGCCACGTCCCTGCATGTTAGCATACATGAAGGCGTAAAGTTAGAATCATGTTTTTTGTTTCCTCTTCTTCTTCGTGGCATTTCTGGTTTTATTTGGCTTACATTGACCGGACTGATGTAATCCAATGATTTGTAAGAATTGGACAACTTTATGGTACAAACTTGACTTTATAAAGCCCAAAGCCTAAAAGTAAGACTACCTTATCATATCTGCATGAACAAAACCCTAGATGTTATTATCATTTTTTGTTATTTAACCAAGAACCTCGTTTCCAAGGGAGATCTGGCCAAGACAGTCAGCAGCACAGTCAGTAACAGTCAGAGACACAACGAGTACAATTTACAACAAAACTAAAATTTGCATTCAAAGAGAGAACTATCCATGAGTCAAATCTGGGAGTCAGTAGTTCAAGCAGTCGAGCCAAAAACATCGACATCCTATTGAGATCCTGTAGAGAGATAAAAGTCGCTCTTGGTGCCTGTAAGATAGTACCTGGCCTCTGCACTGTGTACATGTACTGTACATTTGTGTCCTTGCAGGTTAACCTGGTGTCTGAACACATCTGGTGCGACGACTTCCTGGTTCGCAGCTTTTACCTGAAGAACATGCAAACCAACGAGACGCGAACTGTCACTCAGTTCCACTTCCTGACCTGGCTCAACCAGAACGTCCCCGAGACCAGCCGGACACTCCTCGACTTCCGCAGGTAGGGGACTCCTTTGAAAGAAACTCTTGTTTAAAGTCAGGTAAGCCATTGTGATTTTCATGCAGTTGCATTTAAAAAATCACAGAGATGGATTAGAGTAATTACTCTATGTTTAAGAGACTGTGATCCCTCAGAGGCGTCCCACAGGGAAATGTGCTTACTATAGTTCTCAAACAAAGCCGGCGGTACTTCCATTTGCTATGTGACTGAGTCCTCTACACTGTAGATTTGACTCCTGCACCCACACAGGGCTGCTTTCAACCCATTTTCTGTACCAGTCAGGTAAAAAAAAGACTTTGGTGGAACTCCCTTTCATTTGAAGTACACAAAGTACTGAAGCCTGCTTCTATTGTTGATAGGGAGAGCAGTGAGGTTTTTAGAAAGCCTCGAGGAAACTTTTGGAAGTCCTTTTGAAAGAGGCCTTTTGGAGAGAAAAAAAAACACTTTGATAGCAGGACTCCTCTCCAAAGAGAAACTTAAGAAGAACACTTTGTGTGTGATGTGTTCAAGGGGAGGAAAAAAGTCACCAAAGTGTGTTCATCAAAGGAGCTGGTTACCTCACGTTGTCTTTGCTTCGCTTTAACCAAACCAGCGTTTACTCATGAAGAAGAAGTTCACTTGTAAATGGACCAAAGAAAACTTTTTTTTTTTTTAAATATTACTTTGAAGCTTGATGGAGTGGCTCACTGGTCTCATACCTGTTTCTCTGTATCATAATAATAATGTCACAATCAGGAACCCAATGACTCTGGTGCGGGTTTCCAAAGCCCCTTACCAGTCCTTTGGTTCCTTTGGTTTCTTCTGATCATCTCATGAAATGTTCTCTGAACACTGTAAAAAACCAGTCTGATAAATAAGTAGGATGTCACATGTTGAAATCGTATCAACCCAGTCTATTTCCATACCAGGGTTTGAGTATTTGAGATACAGGAACTATCTTTTTATTTTCTAAGAGGTTGGTTGACTTGGCCTGCTTTCTCTTGCACAGGCACCAGCAGTTAGCTTGTGCTAGCGTGCTAAATTATCAACTTTTCCATTACACCAAATGTAATATTCTCAGGTATGCTGCAGTCTAGGTAAAGCAGCAAACGTACATGTTTAGTCCTGCAGTGGGCGTGGCCGAGGAGGAGCCCAGTTTGGATGTTGGTTTTGAAAGTTGCAACGAACATCGCTATGACTCCACCTTTAAGCCTCCAATGTAAACCAATACAAACTGCATCAAATGGGAACAAAATGTAACCTTAAAACACGGTGAAAAGTCGAGTGTGTAACATTTTGCACTTCTACCTCTACCCTTTTAATTATCGGCCCTGAAGATATTGCAAGCAGCTGAATAATTTGTTGGCGTAGCCAGTTTGAAATACCTCCAGGTAGGGGACACTTTGGCTCCCTGAATTTCAATTCAACCTTTATTTATACTTGAAAGATCATTGAAGGGTAACCCTCATTTACAATGACATTGAATCATTACAGAGATAATTAGAAAACAGACATTAAATCAAAAAGAAAAACAGGGGACAGATAAATACAAGACTGCTAAAATCAGTCTAAAAAAGTCTAAAATGTACAAAGATAATTAAGCGAGTACAAAACTGCAATAAATCAACACACTGATGTAAAACAGTTACAAACAGAGATTGGGAGGCTTAAAATTAGGTTTCTAAAAATGCCCAAAAGGTAAAAGTTCATGTTCTGTATGTTGTTCCAAGAGTCCCGTGCAGAATAAGAAAAGGCAGATTTTCACAGTTCCGATCTGACTCGAGGAACATTCAACAGTAAACGCCTTGAGGAACGTGTCTGGTAACGTCCAGTCGAGATAAGTTCTGTCAGGTATGAGGGTTTATAAATAAAAAGATGCCAGTGCATATCACGTCTTTTCTGTTAGAGGTGACCATCCAACCTTGAAGGAAGGCGGAGTCATTCAGGATGCAAAGATCTCAGATCTCTGACACAGAAACTTCATCCAGCTGATTCAGTCTGTGTCAGTTTGACATCTAAAAGCAAGATTGGATTGGTGCATCCCTTAAATAAGAGAACCAAAGGTTAGAAAAGTATAACCCTAACCTTGCAGAAGTCCTGAAATGCATCTTAAAGTTTAAAAAGGTGGAGTTATTTTTGAGTCTTCTATCGTTTTAGTGGTAAAGCAAAATGAGACACTGGTGAGACTGCGGAGTAGAATCGATGAGTGATACTCGTTGATGTGAGTCCAACAGGAGGCTTTATCAAAGAGTAATAACCTCAGACCTCTCACTTTTCCTGCATTCAGACTCTTGTGACCCTGAGACTCGGGCAGAGAAATATCTTTATATCCTCAAACATCCTGGGCGTTTTTTTCCAGTCGATAACGACGTAATTCAGGATGCATTGAGCGAACTCTGCAGGAGCGATCCTTTATGTCCGCTCCCCTCTCTTCACCCCGCCTTCGACCTTCTTTTAAAACTGATATACTGTATTGCCTATTAAGGTGGGAGCCTCCCCCCCGGCCCCCTTCCCCTCTGATTCACTGTGGATTCTTTGGAGCGATAGACCCCCCAACTCGTTTTTTTTAATATATATAGGTCTGGAGTTGCCGTGCTGCTGGCGCACATCAATTAGGTTGTGATATGAAGAGTGAGAGTTTGTGGTCACAGCTATTATGAAAAGGTCTGGTGGGCGTCACCACCCACCATCAGTTTGGAAATATTGCCTTTACTCACGGGGGCGGCGGGGTCACAGCACAATGAAGAAAGCTCAGAGGGATATTTTTCACTTTTATTACTGACGACGCGGTGCTTTCACAGTAACGGCCTGCCTCTGCAACTATTTTTTTTCGATGGTTTTTTAAGGAAGTCGGCTGATCTCTTCCTTCTTTTATGCTCTCGCCGGCATGTTTTTTTTTTTTTTTTCTAACCACACTCACAGCTGACTGACCGACCGAGCCGAAGCACTGCTTACAAAATCCTCTTGTCATTTCCCCCCACCTGTGTTTACCAGCTAACTAGCGGTTGCCAGTGTCATTTTTGTGATGTTGCAGCTAGTAATATGAGCCCAGTTGCATAGTCACAAAAGTGATCATTGGAGACTGTAACTCTGCAACCAAAGGGGCCCTCATGGACCCCTACCCCCTCGACCCTTTCCTCTCCTTGCGCTCCTAAGTTTTTTTCCCACACCTCTTCTTCTTCTCCCTTTCTTCTCCTCTCCTTCATCTCTCTCCTCGCTGTGCCCGGTGACCTGAGATGACCTCACGCCTTTTTTGCTTGCTCATGGTTTGCTTGACTCCCCCCCCCCCGACCTTTCTCACCACGCCTCCCTTCCTCTCTTGGTCGCTTTTGTTTCCCTCCTTCCCCCCAAATCCTTGATCGGTCTGATCCTCCTTCTTCTATTATGTCTCTCAGTATGTTTCTCTTTGGGATTTCTGACTCCTTCTCAGAGAATACATACTGAGAAAAGGCAAACAAGTGAGTGACTTTGTCACTTTTAAGAACAATTCAGAAGTAGACGCAGAGGGGATACATCTAAAATACTTGTCTGTCTTACATGTGTCAGTTTAAGGGAGCTGCTTTCTGTCTCTGCTAACCTTCCCTGTGATCACTCATTTCAAATGTCGGAATATCAGATCATTCGATACTGATGTTTTCATGAGTCGTGTTTATTTCGTTGGACCACTCTGCAATCACAAAATATGGATTATTTAATTTTTGTTTATTTAACCAGGTTGGCCCCATTGAGATTTAAAACCTCTTTTTCAAGGGAGACCTGGCCAAGACAGGCAGCAGCAAAAACACAAAGTTACAGTCGGAGACACGAAGGGAGACAAAGTACAATTTTCAAAACACAACATTTTGGATGAAAATAGAACCATCTATGAGTCAAATCTGGGAGACAGTCGAGCTAAAAACATCGGCATCCTATAGAATCTGCTTCCATGTCTTTAATTTTAGATCTAAAAACATTTCAGGACACCAGCTCCTTTAGTTTTAAGTCATTCTGCAGCAGATTCCAGACTGATATTGCAAAATACCCAAAAGCCCTTTTTCTCACTTTCTGTTAGAGAGAAATAAAGAGGTCCTGAGAACGCAAAGAAATGTGTTATACCAGTACTGGTATATTATGTCAGTATCTGTAGCTTTGGATATCACTGAAGTAGCTTCTCTCTGGCTGCAAAAAACCTGCACATATTGTCTTCAATATGACGTCTGGACATGCACCAACATGCACCAACTTCCCTGCCCTATTTCCAAAAATCAATCCCAGTCAGCTCTGAAACAAAGCATGAACTTGAACACATTGTCTTTGCTTCTCTTACCTCTTCCTACATATACAGCTGATACATTTAGATTGAAATCCCATTTTCACAAACAGTAGTGCCTACAGTATTATACCGTATATGCCCAGCCTGTATGATGGATTAAGTGATGAGGTTGGTGTGTTGCACTTCATTGCTCACAAACACTTGTGATTCATGATGTGATCAGTCTGATGAAGGACAGAAACAAATATAAGTTGAACATTGGAGGTGAAAATGGAGATTAAGGGACTCGAATGCAAGATTTCAATAATATATTTTCCAATCCAACTGTTCGTGCATCAAAGGGCGAGATAATTGTTTCCTGTTACAGATTGCAACTTGCACGATGCACAAAGTCTAGATGATTCTGCGTTGATTGAGCTGGACCATGAAGTGTGAGAGCGGACTATAAACTGTACATTAAACACTCAAACAATGCAGCTCGTTCTTGAAATGTAATAGTGATGTCCATGTCAAATAAAGAAGTATCTATCTATGTAAAAATGTGCATGTAGCCCCCATGAGGTCACTCATTTGTTTGTGGTAAACCACTGGATGAAGCATCAACTTTATAATTTTTTTGGTGCTCCATCTCGTTTCCTTTATGACCATATTTGGACGAGAGGGTACAGCTGTTGACGATTGAGGAGTTAACAAGTGCTAAGTGATGTTAGCTTGGTAAGTAAGTAGCATCTGTTGCATTCCTAACCGTCATATTAATTTAGAGAGTGCTTTGAGCAAGTGATCCAACAGATGTTTCATCAGAGGGTGTTTGAGTTCGCTACCAAGAGCTAAGATGATTTGAAGTCTCCGTGGGATAAAACTTTGCTGCTTTATTCTTTACTTCATCTTAAAAAGAACCTTAATTTACTACTACGATTAAGACCATGAAGACATGAGGAAAACATTTATTTCAGAATCAGAATTAGATTTATTGGCCAGGTATGCTTACACACACAAGGAATTTAACTTCTCATATGTACAGGTACAACATTAAATATAAACAATAAACATAATAAGAAAAGACTAATATTGAATAGACTCCTAAGTAATAAATTGAGTAGAAGAAGGTCATTTTCTCATTGCCTTCCTGGCTGCTTTCTGGGTCAGAAATGAGCGGCGCCAGACGTCAGATGGGCGTGGTCAGACGTGTTTCGACGTCATGACACAGGCAGCACCATCTGCTAGATAAGCGGCGATATGAATCTGTATTTTAATGTACAATATATATGTGTATACAAGTCAATTTTATGGACCCTCTCCATTGACTTGCATGGAATAGTAGAGGGACCCCTGCTGGGCATTAGAGAGTATGACGGTTATACAACAGGCTTTTTCTACTTTGTATTGCTCTTTTATTCTCTCTATTCTCTTTGTCATTATCCTCTCTCTCCCTCTCTTACGGGGCGTTTCCTTCGTATCCAACACCCCATCAAAGCTCTACTTGCCCCTTCCTCCCACTCCCCTCTTTCCCAGCCTGTTGGTTACTCTCCCTCTCCTCTCTCTCTCTCTCTCTCTCTCTCTCTCTCTCTCTCTCTCTGCCGGCTGTTTCCATGGTAACATCACTCATAAATGTCTGCACTGAGCTCTGACTTTTCAATTTTGGTGGGATGGCGGATGGAAATGGAAATGGGAGTGGTGGGGGGGGGGGGGGTTTGGTTTCGTGCATTCATCTCTTAGTCGAAGGAAAATCTTTCAACGCTGCCAATGAAAATGCACATTTTTATCAATCCACCGTAAAGGTTGTATTTTTTTGTTTTCACATATTCCTGAAAAAGTGGAAATCTTAGAGAGTCAGAGAGGATATGATTCGGGGGTTCTCTTACTCACATTTGTGATTTTTTTTTTATACATGAAATCAAGTTCAACATGATCAGCTTAGTTCAGCATATTCTGTGAGTTTTTTAATTATTATGCATCCTTCATTTGATTTAGTGCAAACCTCTTCCAACACTTCATATTCCTCTTAATTTTGGTTTAGGATTATAGAACTTCTTCTGGATCTGGATCTGGACTTTGTTTGTTATTTGTATGCGAAAACTGTTTTACAATAAGTTAAAATGTCCCAAAATCCACATCTCAGTGTAAATATTTATTGATGATATGAAAGAAAGAATATCTCCAAGTGTATTTCTCTTAGGGTGAATATCCAAGATCATCTTACAAGCTTTGTTAGGGGCCCTTCACATGTCCTGGTCTTCCTTGGATGATGACATTTGCAGTTTTTCATAGAAATGGACCTAAAAATGGCCTTTTATCTTTCCTAAGTTTTAGCTTAACATTTCATCAAATCTATTGTTTGTTTGTTTTTAAATCCTGAACAATATGATGCAAACAAAGCCCAAAAACCTCCAATGTGGAGTTGTTATTTTAAAGTTTCCAGAGCTTCAACAAGATATGTAACTCTTTGACTTTAAAATAATGCAAAGGTTGTTTACTGTGGGGATGTCTTTGTAAGTTTAAAGAACCAGAGAGTCTGAACACTAGATATAAATGAAAACGTCCAGTGGAAAGTTAAGCTTCAACACTGCACCTCCAAAAATGTCTCTCCTCTACTGAGTGATGCATTATGGGTAACAAACACAAACACACACAGTGTCCCACACACTGTGTCTTTACATAATCTGCTCCTGCTGAATATTGTTATTTGGAGTTCTCACCATGAGATGGAATCAGAGATGATCTCCTGCTGGGATCAAAGTCACGCCTCTCTGCTTCTCGCTCTGATAGAAGCTGGATGTTTTTTTAAAACCAGCTGCTCAGAATTCTGATGAACAAGGTGTGCATTTTTTTTTGTACCACACTTTCAAACAAGTACCTTGAACTATAGCTCTTAGCTTTCTTATGTATGAAAGCAGCGACAGAAGTGAGCGCTAATATCTGCTCTGTTGTCAAATGTTGTGCTGAAGCAGAAAGACGGTGTTAATCCTCAAAAAGAAAACGTTTCCCCGTGTTTGTGACGAGCGTGCTGCGGGTTTCTGTTCTTTAAAGGCCTGTCAACAACAATGTTACATTTTGAATTACACACAAGCACCCAGGAGAAAAGCTCTTATTCGTTCTTCTTGCGATACTATTTGGTAGAAAGTTGCTCCTGTGCAAAATTCAGATGTTACAGATGTTTCTGCAGCTTGCAACAGGAAGTCAGTATCTCTGCCTTTATTTTGACATCTGTTATAATGACGTAAATATAGACGATGCATTCAAGGAAGAATGTGCAATATTTGACACATTAATATATCAGAAATCAAGTATTTCCTCTTTAACTGAGTCCTGACTGTCTACAATGAGGGAGAAGCTCGAGTCCCGCTGGCTGTGTTGTTGTCAGAGCCGTGTTTACATGGACGGGACGGCCGGCTCCTCCCCTTGTGTATAAAAGCTGTTTTAGTCAAGAAGAACATACTCACTGATTATTTAAGTGTCTTTAGATCACAGTCATTCTGTGTCAAGGAGCATGAAATGTGAAGCTACATGCTAACTAAAGCGTGCTAACATTAGCATGCTAACACAACAATGCAGGACACAGGTGATCGCAGCGCGAGCAAAGGACAACACAATGTCCGCTGCTTGGTGCTTAATTATGGTACGTTTCATGTTTTAACTCCTTCATGTGAACGCGAGTGGAGGGGGGTTGGAGGTGTGTCTCTGGAGGAGAGCGGAGGCTTCAGGATGGAGGAGGCGTGGCCTAACAGAAGTTTGTTTTGGTTTCATGCTGGAGCTCAAGGGCGACATCTACTGGATCAAAAAAGTCTAACATTCTTCCTTTAACAGTTGGATTTCAAAATGGTAGTTCTTAAATATTTCCACTTCAGGGATGTTATGAAGCTACTGGGACTGAAACGTTTATCTTCTTTTAGAGAAAATGAAGTACTGTCTCAGGGTTTCAAATCTCAACGTGTTTATTCTTAACAAAAGTTAAGATTTGGGAACCATTAGCACAGACAGAATAACAATTATTACAGACTAAAACTGTCAATTATAGTTTTTATTTTCCTGCTTATTGACACTCTCATTGTTGTGTAACTGCCAGTTAAATGTTTTATTTTTGTTCATTTCATCCTATTTGTTGGCTGCTGCAACACCTGAATAGCCACAAACACCGGGGATCAATGAAACCTTATTATATCTTAATCTCAGCTATTTAACGGCTGCTTGGCTTTACCGAGGACAGCGGCGTCCAAATGGAAGTGCACCTTTTTAAATACTGTGCTTCAATTTGAAAGTACCTCACGTGTGTGCTCAGCGATGTCTCACAGCTTCTTAACTCTGATACTCAACACAAGTGGAAAAGTCAGTGAGGAATCGTTGGATGTTGTTTAAATTTAAACTCTGTGCAGAACATCTCACGTCGTAATGAAACAGTGATAAAAAGAAAAACATCTCAAAGGGTCAAATGTTGTTTACATGCACACACTCAAAAACGGGATACTTCAAAAACCCCGGACAAAACCGGGATACTCAAGTCCAGTGAGAATCCTGGGGGCCCGTTTCAGAAACTCTCGCTCTAACCCTGACCCTCTTGAGATGATTTACCCTCAGGTGGGAAACTGTGGAACAGCTGATTTAAGTCAGATCAGTCAACTCAACATTTATTCAAACGTGATGCAGACTGACTGAATGAATGAGGAAATTAAACCTGCATTTCTTGCTCTGTATGTTGGGCGGAGACAGAGAGAAACTCAGGGTTCATTTAAAGAAAGAAACCAGCTCCCGACCAGGTTAACTTCACAGACTCAGTTACCATAGCAACAGGCTGAGGGCTGAAGTCACCTCTCCCTCTGGAACGAGCTTGAGTTACCCCGTCTTTTCTCAGGTTTGAGTGACCTCTGCTACTGAAACAGAAAAACCTGAGAGCTTCTCTCAGTTCACAGTTCACAGACTCAGAGTTGGCAGTAAAACCTGCTCTCTGAAACGAGCCTCTGGAAGACATAAAGGCAACATTTCTGTGTATTTACACATAGAGAGTAGAGTAATCAATACTGTGCATGCTGTTCTAGTTTTTAAAAGCTCGGGGACATCGTGTTCTCACTCTGTGTGTGTTTTTTGTCGTAGCTGTGATTTTAACACTGAGCTTGTTTCTCCCTCTCTCTCTCCCTCTCTCTCTCCCTCTCTCTCTCTCTCTCCTCCCTCTCTCTCTCTCTCTCTCTCTCTCCCTCTCCCTCTCTCTCTCTCTCCTCCCCTCTCTCTCTCTCTCTTCTCTCTCTCCCTCTCTCTCCCCTCTCTCTCTCTCTCTCTCTCTCTCTCTCTCTCTCTCTCTCTCTCTCTCTCTTTCTTTCTTTTTTACAGAAAAGTTAACAAGTGCTACCGGGGACGCTCGTGTCCTATCATAGTCCACTGCAGGCAAGTATCTCAATTAATTAAACATGTTTTTTTCATGTCTTAAAAAGTCGCTTACACTCCGGGTGATAAAAATGTGATTTGTTGTGAACGAGCTCGTACTCACACGCCGCCTGCTCGGGGTCGATTTAGAAGCTGGACTCGCCTGTGGTTGATGTTTTCCGGGTCCACATTACCGGTTTAATTTCTTACAAGCTTACTCGTGTCACTTGTCGGCACGGCGCGGAGGAGGACGACAAACATTTAAAGATGAGAAATGAAGCAGGAAGTTGTGATTTAATTGGACGGACTGTCGGCAGAGGAGGGCAACTTTTAATTGGAGGCGCTTCAAAGTTTGCAGCGTGTCGGTCAGAGCCTGTGGGGGGGAGGGAGGGGGGGGGTGGATAGAAGTAGGAAGAGATGCAGTTGTTGCATTTGTGTGTGTGTGTGTGTGAGTGTATCACATCTGCATACCCTCCTCCACCTTCAGAGAGAAAAACCCCGGACCACAGAGACATAATTAATTCTGTATTAAAAAAAAAAGAAAAATCTGCCACATCTTTTTTTTTTTTTTTTTTCTGGAAACACTCTGCCGTGATTGGATTAGAGACACACACAAAAAAA